TTCACTTATTTAAAAGTGTTTGGACAAAAATGATGTTTCCAATTTCAATTTTAATTGACGAAACTGGTGGAATGAACGAAATAAAACATCTACAAGAGTACGAGAATTTCCTAGCGAAACTAGCTGAATGAACGAAAATAAAACATCAATAAGAGTAGGAGAATTGCAAGGGCATTGAAGGGCCAGCTTCAGTACAAATTCATTGGCAATTACACTTACCAATCCAGTAAACTAGTTTCCACTAATCAACATGGGAGAAATGTTGGATACCACCACAGGATTTCAGTACGCAAATTTATATGGAAAGAAATGTGTAAGAAATGTAATAAAAGGCAACAGATTTCCGCCAAACTTCTCATTTCAGATTGGTACCATAATGCGAAATCCAGGCACTTATGAACAACCACCCACACTCGCATATTGGGGGATTTGTAGGAAATTCTCAATCACTCAGCATGTAGCCAAAATTCCATCTCTTCACAAAACATGAAAAAGGAAATTTTCTTTTCCCCATTCAAGCTTGGAAACACTCAAAGATCAATCCTTTTAAGAAATCTTCAAAAGGCCCTACAACCATTCCCACTATTCTAAATTTAATTCTCACACTGCATATGTTCCCAAATTCAATTGCAGGCTTCAGACAAAAGGACCCATGCCCAAAAAATTTACCTCCAAACTTTGACAATTGCAGTTCCTAACTAAACGACATCATTTTCTCTATTAGCCAAGCCTTCCAGCTCCAAAAGGGTATCAAAATGTGCTGTATTATATACCCATAAAGTATGCCATAGTAAGGTATACCTTCCTTATCGTATACCAAACCGCATACTATCAATCACTATCACCATCCTCTCTCTGTTCACACTTTCTCTTCAAAACTTGGCCATGGAGTGGGGAAATGTTCCTGCTCACATGCCTTGAAAGCAAAGAGTTCAATAAGTGAATGTAGTGGAAGTTATTTGTCCTCTGCAGCCATCCTTCTGCGTATCTCATGAGCCGTATTGAATATGCCAAGAGTAGGCTTGTCGCACACAAAGCACTTCTTGTTCTTTGAATGATGCTGTGAATGAAAAAGCAGATTAACGTTACAAAAAGCTTAAAAGAAACTCAACATTGAAACACAATGACTATTATACTTGATCCGCAAGTCTAAAACGACATTGAATTCCATAGAGCTATCGCAGCCACAGGAATTAAGATGATACATTAAGAAAGAGAACTCACCTTTAGTGCACAGTGCTCGCAGAAGTAGTGGTTGCATTTAGTCACAACAGGATCAACAAATGGTTGCCGGCAGATGAAACATGCAAACGGTAACGAGCCATCCTCATCATCATCGTCATCATCTTCCTCTGTCTGGTCCACATCATCCTCACCCAAAGCTAAATTTCTCTTCCTTATTTTCTCTGCTTCGTCCCACTCCCTTTCCATCTGCCACCCAGACTTGTAGTCTCCACGATCATGCATAAACTTGCAAGAATCTCCATACCCACAATAACCAGTCTCTTTGTAATCCTTACATATGTCTGGCTGATAATCAAATCTTGTGGTAACTCTGATGTGAGCAGAAGCCCTGAGAGGCCCATGGGAACCTCCCGCTTTCTCACTGGCCACTGTTAGCTCTCTTCGGAACCCAGCCTTGTAATCAGTATATCCATGGATCCCTTTATACAACTTTTCGTCTCCAATACCTTTGCTCTTCCCCTTCAAAGCCTCCTCTGCCAGCTTAAGAACTCTCTCACGAACTGCTCGGGCATCTCTAGAGAACTCAGTCTCAATCTCCAAAGTCGCAGTTGCTTTACTATCATGTTCAACTTGGATTTCTTTTGAAGACTTGAACTCAAATATTGCACTGCTATCAGGCGTAGAGCTCTTAGAGAGTCCACTAGAAAAATACAGCTTGCCATCAAGCTTTGAGGCTTTTCTTTGACTTGGTAATGATGTACCCCCAGATTTTGAGGAGTCTTCCTCCTCATCTTCATCAACCCTTCGCTTTCTAATGTTTTGCTTCTTCAATGGCTTCCAGAAGAAGTTGCAAACTGGAAATGCAAAAGAACAATGTTACAAAGTTACAGTGCACACAATGGAAACAGATATACAAAATTCAAACAATAGCACACATACCTGCACCGGGTTCTGCATTTCCATCCGAATCTGTTATATAGGCACAAGCAACCAAAGCAAGGGGGCGAATTCAATCACCGTTACTTGGGTTATTGCAGCTGAGTTGCCGAATTAGGGTTTTGAGGGGTAATTCTTCCTTTTTTTTTGGCCACTGCTGACAAACAAAATTCACTTAATAATTTAACCAAAAAACTCATACATGGATTTATACAAGAATGTCATAAAATACAGTGAAACTCAACGAACTTAAAATTTCTCAGAAAAAAGAGAAAACAAATGTATAAATTCCATTATATTATGTGGTCGATCAGTACTCTAAAATAAATTTAGTGTTTGTTTCCCAAGCAACCTATGAAATAACAGAGAAAAGATCCATGAATGCTTGATCCAGATATACTGTTATTCCAAAGCTTCAATGAAAATCAGCACCAAAAAGTGATGATTTGGTGCAACCCTAGTGCTGAATTTCACCAAATTAGTTCCCTTGACATTTTACAATACTCCATTATCACATTTTAATATGTCCATTGTGCATGGGAATCTGCTTGCAATGAAGACCCAGGAAGCTAAACTTTGTAGCACTCAAATGGATTCAGGCTAACAAAGTACGAGTACATAAAATATATACACTTCACAATTCATAGGTTATTGATCATAGACCACACGACAGTCTGTTAATTTGATCAACATAATTAATCTCATAAAGAGCAATCACATTTCTTACTTTGTTAATTTGATCAACATTTCTATATATAGGTACTAATATCACAAGATTGATATATAACAGGGTATTAGAAAAATGAAAATTCTTGAGCTATAGTTGAACTCCTTTCACAGGATAGCTAGGGTTTCAACAGTGCAACATATTGCTGCTAACAATTAGAGAGCCATTCTAGTTGAAATTTAAGATAATAGTAAGATGAATCTCAAAGTTTGATTCATTTTTCAGACTAACTAATCTTGATTTGGAAAAAACTAGAAAGAGCTATAACATGCAACTCAAAACAGATTTGCAATGAGGACTTAATGTTAATATAAAGAAGATAAACATGATGTTGAAAGCATTACATTGGAAACATGATCACAATGACAGCAAGACTTGAGCCAGAACGCAACTCTTTTTTTCCCTTTGACTACTAACCTTTTATTAACATGATCACAATGACAGCAAGACTTGAGCAAGACTTGAGCCAAAACATGATCACAATGACAGCAAAATTCTTTTTTTAATGTAATAAAGCATTCACCTAATATGTCATGCTGCATCCCTTTAAGAGCGAGTAAAGTGAAATACGCCCCCCCTGGAAGCTATGCTACCCTTCCTGCTGCCTAATCTTTATCAATGATGGGGTCATGCTTAATTCATATTTAACTCCAAACCCTTCGTTGAAAAATGGGAAAATCACTGGTTCATGTCACATAGCAAGGAAGATCCAACATTGAATTTTTTAATTTTTTTTCTCTTTTATTTTTAAAAGAGGTAAGAATTAAATTCCCAACTCGCTCCACACGCCACAAACAAATCAATTAACTCAATCTTCTCTTTTAAACCCTACCAACACATGCCATGAATGAGATCGTTCTGTCTTAAATTTCTTGTCTGTTAACTAATAAGTAGTGAATTACAAAGTTACAAAATATGCATATCCATTACAAGGTTTGAAGAAAAGGAAAAACTACGTAATCTTAAGAAAAATGTGAAGAAATTTATCGGCAGTCAATGGAAACAGGTTTTGATTATCTAATGGCTTATGTTTGTGATGATATTTAAATAAGTTGAATGGTTCAAACTATTATTTTTATGAGGAAATTTGTGCAAGAAATAAAAATGGTGATGATCCATTTTGTGCAAGCATCTGCTTTAGCCTTTACAAACTACAAGCATAAATAGGGCCTCTGCATTATCATAAATAACTGGTTTGTTTGTAACATAATGCAAAGTTTAAGGATATGGTACAAGCCTATAGATGCCCTATTTCATTGTACCGTTGCCACTTGAAGGAACTCTTAACACATGTTCACAGGCACTAATCTACTGTTGCCTTATTGCACCCTCCTAGCCCACCTAGCTCTCTAGCTTTTGCTGATACATATCTATCCATCTCCTTTGTAATATTGTCACTTTACACCAGTAGTTCTGAATTTCCATCAGAAGAAAAAGGCCTGAAATCTGTTAAGATCAGTCTCTTTTGCCCAATTTGACTTCCAAATTCCATTCGCTTTCTCTTTTTTCCCCTTTTGGGGATGGGAGTTTCAATCCTCCTGATCAGTCCCTTTTCATTCCCCATGTCAAGAACAAGAACCACCAACACCAATATTTAGTCAGTCCCTCACAAAATAAAAAAATAAAAGCTGAACCCTCTATTTTGTTTTCATCCTCCTACCGGTGAATTCAATGCAAACCTAGTCACTTGAAATGAATATCCAATAAGCCTCTCCTGTCTATGATTCTATCTCTATATATATTTGAAGTTAGAGAGCAACAAGGGAAATTATGAAGAGGAATTTCAGTACTCTGTAGCAGACTAGGGAACTAATTTTAGAATGCAGAGCAGAACCAAACAAACAAAAATCACAAAATACAGTAGTAGAACCAAACAACAGAATTTTTTTCCCTTTGACTACTAACCTTCACAGCAATCACCAAATCCAATCTTTGTCCAATCTCAAAGGAAATCGGAATTTTTAAACAGAACCTGCCAAATTAATTAAACACAAACAGCTGAAATCAAACCCTATCGTTCAAAAAACTTCAATGAAAAACCCACAAAAAAATTTATAAGATTTTGCAAATCAAATTCCCTAGGTTAAATAAGGGCTTCTGACTTTATTTAATTGGAGACGGCGCAGCAGCAGACGGCGTTCGCAGCCAACGGCGTCACCGACTCACCGGAACCACCAGCACACGGCGACAAATGGCAGATGAGTTACACAGCCCTAAGCTTTTGTCCGGGAGAATAGAATGCCAAAACGAGCGTTTTGTTTAAGTGAGAACTCAAAACGATGTCGTTTTGCGAATGCCAATTGAAGAAAAAACTAGGGGTGGGCACGGTTCGGTTTGGACCGATTTTTGTCTCAATTAGAACCGATCTAATACTTTTCATTCGGTTTGGTTCGGTTTGGTTTTAATTAAAAAAATTCAAAAACTGTCCGGTTCATGTTGAACCAGTTTCAATCCTATTCGGTTTGGTTTTGAACCGGATTATTAAAATTATTATTATTTAATTATTTTTTCAACTGAAATTTTATTTTTTTGACTTGAAAATTAATAAATTATTTAATTTCATATAAAAATAAATATTAAAGTTAGAAAAGAGAGATGTTTTGAAATTGAACTTGAATAAATATTAGTTATGAAATTAAAAATATAACATTAAATATAAATAAATATTGAAATTATATATATTTTAATTTGACCGGTTCGGTTTGGCCAGGTCTAGTTTTTGAAGACATAAAACCGGAACCAAAACCAATCCAAACCGGTCCGGTTTGGTTTTTGACTATTTGGTCAACTAGATTTTGTTTCGATTTTTTTCGGTGAGATTTGGCTCGGCTTTCCAGTTTGCCGGTTTGAATGCCCACCCGTAGAAAAAACATATAGCTTCTCTCCTTCTTTGCCCTCTTTCTATTTTTTATTTTCAATTTCTCTTCGTTTACCATGAAATCAAATATGTGAAATTATGATTTTAGACCCAAAGACACTGACACACGCACCTTTCATATGCTGACACGTGTCAATCTCTTTAATTTTTTTTCTTATTTTTGTAAGATTTAACTTTAAAAGTTCATAACAAATAAATTAAAAATTATAAAATTGAAAATTTCTTAAGAATTCCTTGTGACACCCTAAACCTCCACAAATCTACTTTCAACTTGTAAAACCCAAAGAGATAAGAATAACTCAGCTTTGTTTATAAACAAATCAAAACAAGAATTAATGTTCTATATCCTAACACTCTTGTTTCTTTGATCCAATAATTATTATCAACTAAAAATGGTGGAATCATGATTTTATACTTCCATACAAAAGGTTATGTTGTAAGGAGTTTGTAACAATTTTTAATGTACTTTTCTAATTTTTAATTAGTTTTCTATGAATTTATTAAATTATAAACACACAAAAAGTAAAATAAAAGGACACATGGCACTATCGGAAGGCGTTATCTGTCATAAATAGTGATGGCGCACCAGTTAAAAATTATAATAAATAGTGAATTTGTTATTATATTTTCATATTTTAACTTCCAAAATTCGTAATAAATACATCCAAAAAATACAAATTCGTAGAAACTCCTTGTAACATTTTCTTCGTGATAATCCAAAATTATCATTTTGATTAATAAAAGTAATTACCCAAACTCAATTTGTTATACTAATTATAACAATAACCTAAAGATGATTAGACTTCCTCGTTACAAATCTTGTTTCAATTGGTACTTTAAAATTTCCATAACTCATAAGTTTATGTTGGCACTTTATTATCGAATATAAGATTGTAAGGAATTTGTAGTAATTTTCCATGTATTTTTCTTATTGAATACCACCGCAGGATTTAGGCCACTTTACATGGCAAAAAATGTGTACGAAATGTAATAAAAGGCAACAGATTTCCGCCAAACTTCTTCTCATCTCAGATTAGTACCATAATGAGAAATCAAGGCACTAATCATGATCAAACAACTACACTCGCATACTGGGGGCTTTGTAGGAAATTCTGCAATCACTCAGCTTGTATGACCACATCTATATCTTAATCTATACATATAATTTTTTATTTATTTAAGTATATTATATTATAATAATAGGGACAAAAGCAAAGCTTTCAACCTGGAAAAAGGAGCAAAATGGGAAAATCCAAACCCAGAAGCAAAGGAACAAAGAAAGAAAGAAATCCAGTTAGGTACTGTGGAGCCCCATCCTCCAATATCAATGAATTCATTCTGGATGGAAATTGGAAATTGGAAAATACAAAATGAGACAAAACCAAAACCACACCCAAAATTCCATCCCTTCCCCAAACATGAAAAAGGAAATTTATTTTTCCCCAATCAAGCAACTACACATTAGTTTCAATTGCAGCTTGGAAACACTCAAAGATCAACCCTTTTAAGCAATCTTCAAAAACCCTACAAACATTCCCACTACCCTTAATTTAATTCTCACACTGCATATGTTCCCAAACTCAATTGCAGGCTTCAGACTAAAAGGACCCGTATGCCCTGAGGATTCACCTCCAAACTTTGACAATGGCAGCTCCTAGCTAAACGACATCGATTTCTCTTATATACCCATAAATTATGTCATAGTAAGGTATATCTTCCTTGTCGTATACCAAACCGCATACTATCAATCACTATCACCATCTTCTCTCTCTGTTCACAATATCAACAAGTCCAGCAAATCAAAAAAGGGAAAACCCCATAAAGCCCCGATTTTCATGAGCTTTACCCTTTGGCGGGTCGGGAAATCGGACCTGCCGGAGACCTGAACCCGAAAGTCACAGCGTCGTAAGCGCACCAGTGGAATCCGACTTCTCTCCCCATCGCTTTAGCTCTTGAACACTCCTCGCACACCACCGCTACGCCACCTCCCCGGCCCAGCCCAAGCCCAAGCCCATCGGATCTTCCCAGGCCCATGTTCATCAAATACCTCTCCTTCTCCATCTGCAACTCCCTGATCCGATTCTCGTACTCGACCCGACCCGCAAACGGAAAACCCAAACCGGCAACGTTTTCGATCTCCATACCCCGCCTCAATAGCATAACGTTCTCAAGACTGAGGCTCTTGTTGACCGGATTGTGAGCTCCGAACGACGCCGTGTTGTCGTACTCGTTTTCTTGAAAATCTTGGTGGTGGTGGTGTTGAATCTGGCTATTCTTGGAACGCCGCTTCTCGCGTCTCGACCGCTTTAGCTCCACGAGAAAGAAGCAGTTCTTCTCGCGAGAAATCGCGCCGAAGTTGACCTTGCCGGTGATGGGGATTCGCCGGCGAGTGTCCGGCGAGGAGAGGAAGACCGTGAACTGGTGCGGCGAGATTCCGATCTTGTTGCTCAGGAGCGACAGGAACAGCTTGAACTCTAGGGCGTCGTTAACGACGACGTTTCCGATATCGGTCTCTGTCTCGCCGTCGGAGAAGACGATCGGAAACGAGACGCCTCTTGCTCTGGGGTCCTCCACCATCTTCGCAGCGGTTTCCGGCA